AAAAATGTTGTTTAATGTCGAATATTATGGAATTTAATATTACATTCTATCACATATTGATGAACGAAGCTGAAGTACGCAACGTTTATGATAAACGATTTTTAAAGAAATAATTTTTAAAATAAAAATTTTTATAATTTTTTGCCTAAAAAATATTTTTTTATAATTTGTTGATTAATGAAAACTACAAGAAATATTTTTTATAGAATTTTTCATTTAAAAAATTATTGCTTTAAAAATCGTTTATCATAAACGTTGCGTATTTCAGCTTCGTTATTAATGAAAATGCTTAATGTTCGGGATTTGAGATTATTTACTGTAAACCTCACAACACAATAACTAAATTCAAAATGGCAGATCTAATATAACCAAAAGTATAAAAAAAGTACGTAGAAATTAAAATGGCGTTACTAACTTCTTGCAATTGGGAGTTCTTATTGATAGCTTCAGCAAAATGTGTCGAAGTTTCTCCCTTGATGATCATACATATATACTGACCTATGGGGTTCCTTAACTGAGTTAAGTCCCCTTCAAAAAGCCTTCATATAAGACAAAAAGGGCGAGTGTACTCGTTTGAACTTCAGATTATTGGAGAAAGGGGGGAGAAAAGACTTTGACATTTTCTGAAGAATATTTGTTGGCACGATACTTTCACTTCGAATCACTGACAGAATCTTAAATGCAAGCATTTCCTCTATACACAGAATGTATTTCCTATATAGTGTCTATTAGGTGAATTTTAACAAATATGCCCTATTCTTTTGTTCTCACACAGAAAATGTTTTCTAAAAAATAACCAACATTATTATAGATGCAAGAAACGTGAGATAAGTTGATCTTGTTTCAGCAAATGAAGATAATTGTACATATATATTCTAAGAAGAATCATCAAGTATGAGATTCTATAGTTACATCCGGAGTCTAGTTCTTAATTATATATCTCTCTTATAATATATTGCAAGTTGATCTGTAACAAGAAAATCATGAAACCGCGAAATTCCACTCTGTTACGTGTTCATAGACTCGATTACTTTACCATGCATGACAATATCATATCGTATTAAGTGGATTCGTTTGATAAACCGCTTGCAAGAGAACGTTAAGTTAATCAGTACTGACGACAGTGACCGAGTTTTCATTGACTCATATAAATTCTCTGCATATAAGCGGAGAAAAAAAGAGATTAGGGTTAAATGAAATTTACCGGGGTTAAACGCTTGTTTTTTTTTTCTTTCTTCACTTCCATGTAAGATTTTTTTTTCCATCCCATTTTCAATTATTTTGAACTTGAAGAAAATTAAAAAAAAAATAATGGCTTATATATCTTTTTGAATTAATTTTCTCAAATGGAGATTTATTTCAATATAAATGTTACTCTCACAACGTGAAAGTGTATATAATGAGAAATTCATTGCAATTCCTAAAGATTGATGCTAAATAAGAAATAATTTCAGAAGTGTGCTCAGAATGGAACATATTCTCTGTGCGCACCTGCGAATCATTAAGCGTGAGAAATATTCACAAGTGTATTAATTACATATAATTATAAGGAAGAAGATGCTTACTCTTATCATATCTACACCTCATTGCCCGACTTAATATAAAGATTTATATATATAGTTTTAACTGTAAAAATAAACATAACCTATTATTACAGATTCAAAATAGAAATTATATAACGATGCTGAAGTACGCAAAGTTTATGATAAACGATTTTTAAAGTCATTTTTTAAAATGGAAAATTCTATAATTTTTTGCCTAAAAAATATTTTTTTTATAATTTGTTAATTAATGAAAACTAAAAGAAATATTTTTTAGTCAAAAAATTATAGAATTTTCCATTTTAAAAAATTATTATTTTAAAAATCGTTTATCATAAACGTTGCGTACTTACTTCAGCATCCTAATTATATAATTGCCGCACTCTTTTTTTTTATAAAGGATGCTGAATTTTTGATTTTCGAACTATTTACATAAATAATTAGTAGGTTGTTAAGAAATCTTATATATTGTTGAAAAAAAGAATAAAATTTTTATCGAATAATCGAATGTCAAACAAAGCTATCGCAGAGCTGAATGAAATAAAAACACAGGATGTGTCGAAGATAACAAACTTTACTCTATGAATATATAGTTAATCATTTTTAGGGAAATTATTTTCTTAAACAATTTAAATGTAAATTAATTTACAAATGGTAATTATTGAATAATTTAATTTCTATTTTAATATGTAGCTTTCATAAAAATATTGATTTTTTTCAAGGTATTTCTAAAAGTAGAAATAAATGCAATATATAGCAAATAAAGACAAATTATTGACGTAACACATATATTCAACACACCATTATGCTTTTATCTTTCCAGAAACACCATATATGCACTTCTTGTCAATATTTACAAAACCCTGGATAAAAATTGTTTTTTTTTACCTACATCGTATGAATTCAATATTGTTACGAGCATAAAAAATATTTTTCAAATACTTGTAATTTTAAAATAAGTAATACAAATCATAAAAATTTTTAAATAGAAAAAAAATTTGCATGATTATCCCATAAAAATCATTAGTTAAAATTTTCATTTTTAACAATTTTCTTAGATATAATTATTTTTTTGACGAATTTTTATTTTTCAAATTAACATTTGACAGAATTTCTTTTTAAGGGCAGGTCAAAGTCAAACCAATTTTTACATAGAGCCTCAATGGGAAAATCGCATCGACTTTGACCTGCCCTTAAACAAATCTTTATTTAACATAATTCTTATGTATCGAATTTTTATTGTACGCAGAATTCTTAAAACACCGAATTTTTATTTGTCTGAAATTTCAAATGGCCGAACAAACAATCGACAGAAAAATTTTGGCGCGATGTTTAAAATTCACCAATCACGATTTTCTTGACAACTTTTGATTGGTGAATTTTAAAAATCGCGCTGAAATTTTTCTGTCGATTGTTTGTTCGGCCATTTGAAATTTTAGACAAATAAAAATTCGGCGTTTTAAGAATTCTGTATACAATAAAAATTCGATACATAAGAATTATGTTAAGTAAACATTTGTTTAATAAGAAATTTTGTCAATTATGTTAATTCGAAAAATAAAAATTCGTCTAAAAAATAATTATATCAAATAAAATTCTTTAAAATGAAAATTTTAACTAATGATTTTTATGGGATAATCATGAGCCTCTTTTCAATCTATAAATTATTAAAAATTATGATGTCAATGTAAAATAAAACAGTAAATTAAACAATTATTAAATTAAATGACTTCTTTTTAGATATTTAAAACATGATGCTGAAGTTACCAACGTTGATTTGACAAATCAACGAACGAATTTTTCGTTTTCAGATTAGTTTAAAAGCCAAGAACCAATTTTTTTAAATTGAAACTTCTAAAAACACTAAAAATCCTCAAACAAGGCGGGGAAATATTCGATCTTAGAAAAAAAAATTCTTATCTCGTCTATTCAACGTTGGTAACTTCAGTGTCATTTTAAAAAACAGAAAAATTGCTTCCAAGTCGGGGAAAGCAGTGATTTTTACTTTTTTCTCACAGATTTTTCTTGTTTTGATTATTTTTTTTTAATTTATTTACATGTATTTACGGGCAGTGCCCGTAATAATTATTTATTTCAATGCTAGAAGCCTTTTTAAAAAAAAAAAAATTTGCTTCCAAGTTGGGGAAATATAGAAATTATTTTGAAATTTCAGGATTTTCGGAAAACTAGGAATTTTCCTGTTTTTTAAAATGCTTCTAGCATTGAAACAAATAATTATCAAACGAGAAAAATTGCTTCCGGGTAGAGGAAATATCAAAATTATTTGAAATTTCAAAATTTTTTTTTTTTTTTTGTAAATAACTAACAAAAATGTCTAAATAAAAGAAAATACTTCCTACAAAATATTTTCCCTTCACTCTCAAAAAAAAAAAAAAAAAAAAATGTTATAAAATTGCAACGTTATTTTTAATGTAACTTTCACATGAGTTTGTGGTCACGCATTTTACGACTTTTTTTGCAAGGTGCGTTTTGAGCACTCAGTTAAATGTATATCGAAACTCCACCAGAATAAAGAGCCTTTATTTTCGGTTGGGTTGGGAGTTATGATTTTAAGACTTAAAAAAAATGTATATACTTTTTTCTTAAATGCTCCCTCCCTGAAAAGTTCACAACGTTCATGTACGAGTAAAATATTCATCTTTAAATCAAATATTTCCACATACATTATTTTTTACAACTAAAAATTTTAAAAAAATAGCTATTATTTAAATTACACTCAACTAAATAATATAATTTATTTATTGTTAATAACATATGTTTAAGCATTTATAAACTCTTATTTTGATTTTCTCTTTTTATTAAATGTTCCAACAATAACTTCTAATCAGCATAGTTTTAAATGAAAGACATATATAAAATGATTTGTTTGAAAAAAGAAAGAATGAAAAATTCTTATCAAGTAAAATGATTAAAACACGCAACATTGTTTTCATTTATTATTATTATTATTATTTCGACATACTGTAATTTTAAGTGCTATGGATATATATGCAATTAATGTGACAAATAAAAAAATCAGATTTTATAGGGAGGATTAAATAACATTGTTTACAAACTTAAAAATTTTTCCCGCGGTGTTTCTATAAGAATACGCGAATTATAATTTTCTATGAAAAAAATACTTGTTATTTAATTTTAAAAGTTCAAACAATAAAGTAACAAAAAAAAAAAAGACAAAAGAAATTATGTATTTTTCATTTCCTTTTTGTTAAAATTGTTAAAATGATAATGAGTTCCATCATTTTGACTCTATATGGGCGTGTTTAATGCTCTCTAACGTCTTTGTATATTAAACAGTCTGGAAATACTCACGGTTTATAGTAACAGGTAAAAAAAAGTCAAATCTCAGATTCAACCGATAAGAATGGGTATAAAAAAGACCTTGAATCTCCCGTAAAAAAATATACTACCTAAAAAAAAAACAGAACAAAAACTCACCTGCGATGACGGTGTCTTGAAGATCATATTTGGAAGCGCCGGTTTTGCCAATTTTCGGAAAATCCTTTAGTTTGCGACCGCTCAATTTCAATTCACCACTGAGATGAGCTTCCTCCAGGATTCTCTCTAAACTCCTGGTTAGTTGTTTTTGAATGTGGCAACTCATATTTGTCGTGACCATCGCCATATTACATTTTTCAACAAGCACCAAAAAAATGAGACACGCGAGACCACCGCGAAAACTTTTGCCACCCCAACACAGAGCTCTTTTACGGACGAAGAACCCTCATTTTGCGATAAAAGCGCCAGCGCACTATACTGTCTTTTGCATCATGACTGATGCTACTTGCACGACTCTCACAGAATTATTGTACACATATACACACACAATACAAAAAAAAAACTATACTTACACAGTACCTGACAGTACTGTAGACAAATGTGCACTGCTGTTGTGTTGTGCTTCGACGCCTCACGCTCGCCATCTGTAAGCATAAACTAAAACCTCTCTAGTTCAAATTTCAGCCGTACGTTGTGGCGCGAAAATTCAAAATGAATAATTTAAAAAAAATAATATTTCTCATTTATTTACGTAGCATTTTAATTTAAATGATTTATTAATAAGTAAACAATAAAAATCATTAATAAATAAATAAAATCAACTAAATAAATAATTAAAAACTAATACATAAGAACAATTATTATTGTTAAATAATAATAATTATATAAAATTAATATTTGGTGAGGTAATGAGAAATATATTTAAGAATTATTTTTCTTTAATTAAAATCTATAACAAAGTATACAATTATTTACAAATTCGCTTTAAATTATTATTCGAATACCATTAATTGAATGAAACTACAATAGAAGTATCATTTGTATCAGCAGTTTTCATTATTTCTATCACATTCATTCAAAATTTAATTTATTATAGTATTAATTTTGAATTAAATATTTATAATTTAAATTTCTTATAAATAAGAATTTGATGAAAACTCAGTCATATTTATTACTATTATTATAAAAAATATTATAATTCGTTAATATCTTACATTAATTTTTTTTCTTTTGCTGTTGGGGATTTATTAATTCTTGATATTCTCTAATGAGTCGTTCTTGTACTTCAGGCAAACATGGTGTATATCGCGAATATTCCATAGAGAATTCTCCTTTACCTTGTGTCATTGATCGCAATTCACCAGCGAATCCAAACATTTCATTTAGTGGAACTTCTGTCGTCATTGTGAACCAATCTTCGCTTCCATCACTTCCCAATATAATACCCTTCTTTTTATTAATCATACCCATAATGGTTCCCTATAAATGAATAAAATAATGTTTTTAAATAAAAAATGAAATGAAAAAGAAAACTTTTATTTAATTTTATATTTGAATTTAATAAAAGTTTCTTTAAAAATTAAATAAATAAAAAAAAGTAATTCAGGATCGAATAATTAACTCAGATCGATTGTAAAAAAAAAAGTCGCATTTATATTATAATCAAAAGTCGATTAATTCTTAATTAATTATTAAATCACATAATTGAATTTAATTTTCAAATATTGAATTTAATAATAGAAAATATTTTCAATTATTCATTCAAATAACTGAAATTATCTCCAAATAGTCAATAAAATAATTCAAATTATCTTAAAATAATATTATTATCTGAAATCAATTTTTAAAATTTTCAGTTTTAAATAAGTTTATATAGAAAAAGTTCTCTAAAGTTTTAGAATATTATTTAGTCTAATATTTAAATGAATTTTTAAGTTAGAATAATTCTCAATATCTTAACTTAAAAAAATTTTTTTTAAAGACAAACTCAAATTTTTGTTCTTAATTATATTGATTGTGATTTTCACTGTTAATTATAAGGAATTAATAATTAATTAATTTCCTGATTTTCAGTCAGAATAAACAAAATGATAATGTAAAAAAATATTTTTCTATCATAAAAGTAAATTCAAAAAGAAATAATTTATCTAACCTGAAATTCATCTGGACATGTAATTTCCACTAACATAATTGGTTCTAAAATCGTCCAAACTCCGTTTTGAAATACGTCTTTCACAGCACCTTGACCAGCATGAAAGAAGGCTATTTCAGATGAATCAACACAATGACTTGCACCGTCCTGAAGTCGAAATTTCACACCAGCTACTTTATTACCACTGAGAACACCTTTCTCGCAGACATGTAAAAATCCTCTCTTTACACCAGGTACAAAAGGTTTTGGTACATTCGTACCAACGGTCTCATCACGAAACTCGAGAACTGTATTTTTATTTGGTGGAAGAGGCTAAAATAAAAATCAAAACGAAATTTATAAAGAATTAAAATCCTATACACTGTTAATAAAAGAAATCGAATAATAATAAAGAAAAATATTACCTCCATAACACCAATAACTCGACCAAATTGTCCAGCTCCTCCTGATTGTTTTTTATGTAAATAATCAAATTCACAAGGTGACACTAATGTCTCACGGAATGCAACTTTTGGTTTACCCAAATTTACCGGACAATTATATTCACGTTCCATTCGCTGTGCGTATATCTCTAAATGCAATTCACCCATTCCGGATATTAAACTTTCCTGAAAAAAAATATCTATATTATTTTCCACATTCATTTCTTCCTATAATTAATTTCATTTCAATTAACTTAAATATTTAACAAAATTAATTTTAACAAATTTAAACCGAATGTCCATTAAAAATTGTGATCAAAATCATTAATTAAAATTAAAGCAACTTAATTTACTTACTTTATTGTCATCATCGTAATTAAAACGTAATGTTGGATCTTCTTTGGTGAATCTAGCAACAGCTTTAGCGAAATTGTCGCGATCTTTCGAATGTTTCGGTTGAATAGACATTGAAATTACAGCCTCGGGTACATAAATTGATTCCATGGAAAGTTGCAATTTAGAATTATTAACAAATGTGTCTCCTGAAGCACAATCAACTCCAAACAGAGCAAAAATATCGCCAGCGTAAACTTCACTTACATCCTCCATTTGATTTGAATGAAGACGAACCAATCGCACTATACGAACCTATATAAATAATTATTAAAAGATTTTTAAAACATTTAATATTTACAAAATAGATTATATTAAACATTAATTTCATTTAAGGCTGTAAATTGGTAAAAATTTCTTTCTAAACTATTTATCTCCATCTATTAAATTAGTTACCTTTTTATTTGTTCTTGTATTAATAATACTGTCTCCTTTCCGTAACATTCCTTGATAACATCGAAAGTATGTCAATTGACCAAACTTGCCAAGTTCTAATTTAAAAGCCAATGCAACAAAAGGTTGTGCATTACTTCGAGTTGGATCCATTAAAACCTTTTTAAGCTCTTGTCTAATATACAATTAAAATTATTAATATATATTGTGTTGAATTTCAATAATCAGGCCTCGAAACGTTTTCGACATTAAATATTACGTACATTATACGTACCAAAAAAAAAATAAAAAATTAATGACCAATTTACATACCAAAATTTTTAGATTTTATTAATATAAATTTTTGATTTTAAATCTATAAATGAAATAATATACTTAAAAGTCCTAAAAGAGTGAAAATTATAAATCATTAATTAATTAATATTTATTTTATATATTTAATTATATTATTTAAAATATAAAAGAAAAAATTAAGTTTTCAATAATTTTTAAAAACTTATTTTTGAGTTAGATGTTTTTTTCAAAAATTTGTATGAGTTTAAATCTTGAGAATTTTTCTGAATAAACTTTTTTTTTAAATTATTTTATTCAACAATTTTCTATAAATTTTCCTTTTAGGTAACTTTTTTTAAAAAATTACTTTATAAATTTTTTTATTATTACTTTCTATACTATTATTATATTTAGAATATTTCAGAATTTAAAAACAATTTTCAGATTTAAAAAAAAAATATCAAGTTTATTATCAACTTTTTTCTTAAAAGATTTTCGAATTTGATTTATAGAAATTATTGCATTTAGAATTTTAGTAAATTTTTAAAGATTTGAATTCATAAATATTTTAAAAATTATATTCAACATATTTGGTCTTTTAATTAAAATTACATACTTTTCATAATTTTTGTCAAAATTATGGACTTTTACGTACTAATTAAAAAATTATGTACTTTTTCTTAATTTATTTACTTGGTTCGAGGCCTGAATAATTATTTAATTTACTTACCCTTCAATTTCTTTATTTGCAAAATTTTCAACTTCACCAGGATTTGGTAAATAATCAAGTGCAGCATCCAAAAGTGGCTGTACTCCTTTATTCTTTAACGCTGTACCAACTAAAACGGGTACAAATGTTCTTTTCATACAAGTCCGTCGAATTGCATCCATTATATCCTTTTCTGTTATTGCCATTTCATTAATAAACATATCGCCTAATGTTTCGTCAACATTAGTTAAGTGTTCAATTAATTCCTGTCTTCTATCGACGACTTCTATTTAAGTGAAACAATATTTTTAACATTAATTCATTAAATCATATAGCTGCTGAAAATTCAATATACAAAAATAAAATTGTATAATAAAAATCAGTGTGGCCACTAAAATTCATATTTTTTTAATCAATCATAAATCAGATAAAAAAAATTAAGACAATTCAACAAAAATTTCAATGTAAAAGAATAACAAAATGCGAATTTTTAAGAAAATTCAAGACGAATTCACATTTTTTTTCAAGGTGTAACTAAATTCACGTCGTTTTTCCAGTTTTCAAAATTTCAAGATTCGATAGTCATCGTGAAAATTTTTTTCCAAAAAATAAAAATTCTACACTTGCCTGCTCTCATATTTTGTGGAATCTCATCTTGTCTAACTGTTTCGCCATAAGATCCATCGAAGTAAAGTGCTTTTTGATGAACCAAATCAATAATACCTTGAGTTTCACTTTCCTTTCCTATCGGTAATTGTATAAAAGCTGCATTATGTTTCATTTTTGTTCTCATTTGTTCGAGAACTCTATACGCATTTCCACCCATTCGATCTAATTTATTGATAAATGCTAAAAATGGAACGTCATATCGTTTTAATTGACGATTGACGGTTAATGTTTGTGATTGTACACCACCAACGGCGCAAAGAACAAGAATTGCACCATCTAAAACACGTAAAGCTCTTTCCACTTCAACAGTGAAATCAACATGTCCTGGAGTGTCGATTATATTAATATTATGATTTTTCCAAATTGTATAAGTTGCCGCCGATTGAATGGTTATTCCTCGTTGTCTTTCCAACTCCATACTGTCCATTACAGCTCCAACATTATCTTTACCACGTACCTAAAAGATATATAATTAAATTAAAATAGAACCAAATTCAAAAAAAAAATCGTCTTTTTATTCTATTATGGAAATTTTCTAGATTTAAAATATTCACCTCGTGCATTTGAGAAATTCTTCCCGTGTAAAATAAGATTCTTTCTGTTAGTGTTGTTTTGCCGGAATCAATGTGCGCTGATATACCAATATTTCGTATTTTATCTATTGGTTTGTGCTCGGCGAATTTTTCATGTGATGCCATGTAACGGATATTATTCTAAAAATAAAGTAAAAATGAAATTCTCTTGTATCATTAATTATATTTAATAAATTACGTCAGTAAAGTTTACAATGTTTATGATTAACAATTTAGAAGAAAAACATTTCTTTTTTTTTTGAATTTTTGAAATTCTTCTTGATTAACATTTTCCGGGTTGACACAATAATTTTATTTTATTTTTCCCTGATTTTCAGTTACAATTAAAAATTTTTTTTCTGGCTCTAATGAAAATAATAAAATAATAATTGAATTTAAATTCAAATTATTCAAAATTCAATTAATTTTGAATTCAAATTTTTTAGAATAATTAAATTTTCTTTAATTTTGATTTGAAATTTTGGAAAATAATTAAATTTCAATTAAAATTTTGGATAATAATTCATTTTTAGTTGATTTTTTATTGAAAATTTTAATAATTAATTTTGAATTGAAATTTTAGAAAATAATTAAATTTTATTTGATTTTAAATTTAGAAAATAATTGAATTTTCTTTGATTTTGAATTGAAATTTTGGGAAATAATTGAATTTTAATTGAAATTTTGAATAATAATTTAATTTAAGTACATTTTTTATTGAAAATTTGGATAATTAATTTTGAATAGAAATTTTAGAAAATAATTGAAGAATTTTAAAAGATTTTGAATTAAAAATTTGGAAAGTAATTGAATTTTCTTTGATTTTGAATTAAAATTTTGGGAAATAATTGAATTTTAGTTGATTTTGGAATTGAAATTTTGGAATATAATTGAATTTTTGTTAATTTTCAATAGATAAATATGGAAAATATTTGAATTTTAGTTGATTTTAAATTAAAATTTCGGATAATAATTGAATTTTATGTGATTTTAAATTGAAAATTTGGAAAATAATTGGATTTTAAAAGATTTTGAATTAAAAATTTGGAAAATAATTGAATTGTCTTGGATTTTGAATTGAAATTTTGGAAAATAATTAAATTTCAATTACAATTTTAAATAATAATTCAATTTTAGTTGATTTTTGATAATTAATTTTGAAATGAAATTTTAGAAAATAATTTTATTTTATTTGAATTTAAATTGAAAATTTGGAAAATAAGTGAATTTTAGTTGATTTTGAATGGAAATTTTGGGTAATAATTGAATTTCATTTGATTTTAAATTGAAAATTTGGAAAATAATTGAATTTTAAAAGACTTTGAATTTAAAATTTAATAATTTAATAATTAATAATCTGAGGCCTATAAACATATAATTTTTATTTTTATCATTTAATATGGAATAATATTCTAATAAATTTAAATAATTATTGATAATATTAATTTTTAATTTTTCTATAACAAATAATGAAATACTCAATTTGGCGCGCTTGCGCGCGTTTAATATTGCTAGTTTTTTATAATTTGTTCATTAATGAAAACTACAAGAAATATTTTTCGGCAAAAAATTATAAAATTTTTCTATTTAAAATATTATTTCTTTAAAAATCGTTTATAATAAACGTTGCGTACTTCATCTTCGTATTATTTTCCGCGTGAAAAATATTTTTTTTTCATTTTAATCGTTGATCATAAACGTTGTCAACTTCACCAACTTTTTATTTCACATCGGTGGAAAATTAAATTTTTCTTTCAGAGAGAAAAATGTTTTAAAATATCAAAAAAAGAAAAAAAAAAAAAAAAACCACTAATATTTTAGCAAAAGAAACGGTTTGTGTAAATGAGAACAAAAAATTGGTATTTATAAACAATAATAACAGTTATTTTATGGATATAATGTAACAATATTATAAATTACTAACAATTAAAATAATAATAGTAATAATTAATCAGAAAAATTAATAATTAGTAAAATTTATTTTAAAAAAATAGAAAAATAAAAAAAAATATAAAGAAAAGTATATAAAATAATGGAGCTGAGAAAGTAAATTTTGAAGTATGTTTAAAAACATGAGATAAATATGAAATATTTTATAAATGAGAAAAAATAATTAAAATTCAAAATTATAAATAATCATATTAAAACAGAGATAAATTATTTTATTATTCATTATTTGATAAATGAATTAAAATAGAACTAAAGCACATAACCTATAAAATTTTCATACCTGCAAAACACGTGGATGCAATTTTGACAATCTTCTAGGATTTACATAATGTCGAATAGCAGTTATAAATGTCATGATGGTGATTTTGAATTAATTAATAAACTATTTATTTCAGATTTAAATAAATAAATTAATTCTCTCGCTGACATACGCCATGCAACAAAAGCAGAATACAAAATTTAAGCCCTCTAGTGGTTCACTATTGAAATAGAAAATTCAACCAATTTCAAAACATTTTTAAATTCTAAATAATTTTCGAAGTAACTCTAAAAATTAAATAAATCTCGATTAAAAAATTTTAAATAAAAGTAAAATTAATAAATTTAAAAATTACAATACATAATTCTATTTTTTTTTTTTTATTATACAAGACATTTTCATTACTTTCAATTGATTTATTATTATTATTCTTGCTACAAAACAACTTTTATCAAAATTAAAAAATCAAAGTTAAATATTTAATTATGTCCCATACGAGAAAAATTACATGCACTTTACATTAATATATATATATAAATATTTATATTTGCAAAGAAATCAATTCATTATTCGAAACAAGAACGAGAAAAAAGAAATTATTGTGCAAAAGTCACAAATAAAATTATTATGCTTTGAGAAACAAATTTGAATTAATATTTGCCCATTGCAATTTAAATACAATCAAAATTCACGAGTTATTTAATCATGGATACTCATAAATAATAATTGATTATTTGTTATTGTTGTTGTTGTTATAGCGTATACAATTTTTATGCGACTCGCTGAATTAAATGAATTCCACTATCTGTATGAACGGCTTGAGAAAGTTCACCAACTTTAAGAGCAAATGCAGCTTGTTCAAATGGTTTTTGCATTGCACCTCGTCCAAAAGGTCCAAGGTCACCTCCTCGTTTCGCTGAACTACAATCACTGTATTGTGATGCAAGTTCAGAAAATTTTACTTTTCCAGATACAAGTTGCTCTCTATAAGCTGAAAGATAAATATATATATATATATATATGGGCGATTCCACGTGAGATTTACATATGACATTTTAAATTCGGTAAATATATTTTTTGTCGATCTTTATAGAAAAAAAAGGTTTATGTATTTTTTTATAAGTGCTCAAATTTTCGAATTATGAATTTTTTAAAAATTATAAAAAATACGTAAACCTTTTTTTTCTATAAAGATCGAAAAAAAATATATTTACAGAATTTAAAATGTCACGTGGAATCGCTCATATATATATAAATTTTTTTTCAATACATGAGTGAAAATAAGTGTATTTATAGTAAATCGATCATGCATCGTAAATAAAGTTTAATATAAAAAACCAAACAAACAAAAAAAACAATAAGATATAAAAACGAGAATAAAAAGTATAATTATAGAAAAAATAAATTTAGAAATAATTACAGTTGATTAGTTCCAAAGCTTCTGCTTTAGACCTGGTGATTTTTTCTTCTCTCCATGACGATGGTCTTCGAGAACCTGAGTGTTTTACAAGAAGGTGAAAACATTGAACTTCATCAGGGCCACTGTCGGTACCATTTCCAGATTGTTCTGTCGGTTTATCAGGTCTATCCCATTGACTTTCTTTTGTATGTGTATTTAAATAATAATGTTGTCCTGATACACAAAATAATTACATTATTAAGAAACGCATTTTACAGAATTAAACGATAAAATTAAAAATGATTAACAACATAAAAAATTTATTTTCATTATCACCAAATGATTGTTCATATATTATTATTTACATTAATAGATATGAAAGCGTCAAAAATAAACAGCTTCAAAATGAATTTTATTATTTGACATATCAATGTGACAGAAAATTTTATTTTAAAGGTTAAATTAAATGTGCAAAATAAACAAAATGATATTTGAAACTAATGGATTATCTACTATCACTATCAATAGTAGTTTAAAAGAAAAATTCTAATTATTATATATGGAAAATATAACACACCGGTAGATCTACTGAGTCGTTTCTCCCATCCGGCAGGTAGCTCTTCGTCAGACATTGTTAATAAAATTGGATTTTAAATAAAAAGAGAAAGTTAAAATTAATCACTTAAGTTATAAAAAATATGTAACAAACAATTTCACGTCTTTTGAATATTATCAAAATTGTACACCCATATACAAGGCAGCTGTAAGTAACCTACTATTTGACCATAGACTACATACTTGTAATATAGATAACCAATACTATAGGCAATTGGTTCATACTCACATTGGTGGCGCAACATTTATAGTCGCCATCTTGGTTAAAATGGAAATACAAAAATTGATTCAAACACGTTCAAACGTGCAAAGTGTCCAGGAAATATCAACTCCAAGTGTTTCTGATCAAGTGTTTAATAATTCTTTCCAATTTTCTCATACTGTTTTCATCTACGAGTTTATTTATTTAGAAATAAATAAAATCATGACTTCAGAAGAATTAGGACCTAAAAAATGGCTTCGTTGTAACAATTGTTATATTCTGATGCAAGATTGCAAAGCTCCATTCTTGCTTTCGTATTGCAGTCACATTTTTTGCCCTAAATGCGTTAAAAAAGGTATTTATTTATTTATTTACAATTTAAAGATATAAGAAATTCTTTTTTTTTTAAATTTTATCTGCCTAAATTTCAGTAACGTTCAAATAAACAAAAAATTTTTTACTACTTTTTTATTTTTTTTTTTTACTTTTTTAATTATATTTTGATAATAAATTTTTATTTATTGTTATTTAGTTACCAAAAAATGTCCACAATGTAATGCACAAAATCTTCGTACAATGCCATTAGTGGAACCTTTGAGACCTGAAGTAAAGCATTGCTTTGAATCAGTTGAAAATCTTCATGACAAATTTTCACAAGCTATTACTTTTCAAACTCAACAATTATCGATAAATAATAAACGTTTTTCTGCTGTTGTAAGTATATTTATTCTATATTTATACTCTAAAAAATGATTTATTTTATAGAATTTACGTTATTTTTCTAATTTTTTTTGGTTTCTATTTATATTTGTAATAGGATAAAAAATATTTTCGCGCAAAAGTGGAATATCAACAAAGTTGTAATGATTTTAAAAATTCGCAAAAAAGAATTCAAGAACTCGAAAGTGAATTAAAATTAATGCAGAAAAAATTATATGAATTTGAAGAGGCTCATATAAAAATGCACCATATGCTGAATCCCTCTGAGATATTTACACCACAATCTTTAAATTCAAGTGTAGATAGTAATTTAAGGTAAATAATTTTTTTTCAAAAAAAAAAAAAAAAAAACAAAAAAAAAAACAAAACAAATGCACTATAGAAAAATTTTAGGCCTCGGATTATACGACTTTTTTATTTTATTAATTTTAATAATTTTAATGAAATTCTTCACAAATTCAATTATCATAAACTATTTTTCAATTAAAATTTTTATAAAATTTAATAATTGTTTATAATTTTAAAAAAATTAGCAAGTAAAATCACTAAAAATTTTAAATTAAAAATCACTTGAAATTTAATTATTTGCAAAAATTTCAATTATTTTTAATGATTAATATTCATCGAAAATTCAATTATCTGAAAGCATTTTTCAATTAAAAAAACTTTTGGAATTTAATTTTTGTATGTGATTTCTAATAAATTCTTCATCAACAGAAATCACTAAAAATTTCTCTTATTATAATTATTGTCTGAAATTTAACATATAATCTTTTGAAATTCAATTATTTTCAAAAATTTTCATTTAAAAGTTTCTAAAATTTTCAATTTAAAATTTTTTTGAAATTTAATAATACTTAAAAAGTTTTCAAATTATTGTATTTTTGTCTGAAATTTCTAATAAATTTTTTTTTAGTGAAATCATAAAAAAAAAATTTTAATTAAAAATCACTTAAAGTTCAATTAATTTCAGAAATCGAAATTGTAAATTTTTAAAAATTCAATTACTTTTAAATAATGTTATCTAAAATTATTTGATAAATTATTTTTAGTTCTGTAAAATTTAATTATTGTCTGAAAATTAACAAAATCTTTTGAAATTCAATTATTTCTAAAAAATTACAACTTTAACTCTTTCAAAATTATTATTATTATTTAAAAAAAAATTTTATTTAAAAATCTGTAAAACTTGATTAAGTATTGCGTGAAATTTTTTTGACCATCAAAACTATGACAAAATTTTTAATTTAAATAAATTGCTTAAATCAGACTTGAAAATTATAAAAATGGAACTTTAAGAATGTTTTTTAGAAATTTGTCCTACTTAAATAAAATTTTAAAAATTTGCCTCACAATTAGTGCGATTCTGAAATATTCGAAATAAATTTTCTTGATAATATTTTTATAGAATTATTCTCATTACAGAATAAATAAAATGAATTTAATATATCTAATAACATTATTTATTTAAAATAAAATATTAATTAAGCAATTAAATTTTGTTAAAATTAAAAAAAAATCGACTTCTTCGACTTTTTTTGGAATATAAATTGACTAAAACGACATTTTTTGTGTCTTAAAGTCGATCCGAGGCCTGAAATTTTTAACAATAATTTATCAGTTTAAAATAAATTCAATAAAAATAATAAATATCCTTTTTTCAGTTTTCCGAATCATAGTGGCAGTGATGTTCAGTCTTTTGCTAAAAACAAATCTTTTCAAAATACAATATTAACGCCTTTAACGCCAGCGAAACTTAAACAAATGGATTTGATGAACTCGAAATTTCGCATTCCATCAAGGACAAAAGTTCCTCGTTCTGTCGTTAGTTCTTCGAAAAATTCTTGTGACTCTTCACTAAAAACACCTTTCACAGATTTTTCTCCATTTATTAATCGCCGAATATAAAACCACAATTTGGTGAATATTTGAAGAAGCTAAGAGTTAAGATTGTTTTGTTTTTTTTTTTTTTTGTTAAAGTTTCAGTTAATTTAATTATTAATTATTTAAATTGATTTTAAGTTTATTTAATTAATAATATTCATTAAACATTGAATTAATTGTTTAAATATAATTAATAGTTAATCTCATTCTGTAGTTCAAGTTTCATTTTTTAAGAACAAAACTTTTATGGGAAATTTTTCTTGACAAATGTTTAATTAACATTTATATTTTATTTCAATGTAAAAAATTAATTTTTATTAATTCTATTTTCATTTTGTTTTAATTTAAACGGAGAAAATATCGAGGGATATATATTTTGTATTTTATGTTCATTTTTCACAAAATAAATACCAAAAATGTGACTATACCGTGTATTATAATCAAATTAAGTGAAGACACTAAATCTCTCGACTAAAGACTGACTATATTGTATAAAAATTTAATGAAATAAATGTAAAAAAAATATGTCAATATTTTTTACATGAGAAAAAAGTTACAGATGTACATCTTGTACGTATATAGAATTTGAAGAATTGTTTTTTTTATTATCGAATAATAAAAAGAAATTAATTAATTATAAAAGTAGTTTGGAATTATTTGGAATTTGGAGTTTTTGAAATTATTAAGTTTACCTTTCATTTTGTCAAAGTTGAAAATTGGATATTTAATTGTTAAAGAACTATAAATGATTAAAGAAATATAAAGTGTATAATAAATTAATATTATATGAAAATATAGAAAAATTACAAAAAAATATCCTAGCTTTTTTTACAATTTTCTAAAAGAAAAAATAATTGACATTACTCGGAATCTCAAAATTAATCTGAGTGTAATTACAATGTCTGAGTTCTTAAATTAAAATTTTTCTGATCCCTTAGAACAATATTTTTATGTATATATATATAAATATCTTCAAATTACGAATGACAATTGCAGTTTAGTGATGACATCATCATTTACTTAATTTCCCCTTGCGCATTTTAATTTATCTTTTGTAACATCTACGTACATCCCTTTAAATGAATAAAGTTTTGTGCTTTGTTTTCTCAGTTTTTATACATGCCTTACAGCATCGCCATTGAACTGATCTCGAAAAGTTATATGTTTGTTGCAATATTTAATAAATAAAAATAAAAATGATTTCTTATAAAAATTCATGGTGCTCTACAATTTTTTTCTTAATCACCTTCAATCATTTTAAATATAGGGGTGAGTTAAATGAAAACAGTGATTTTATATACAAATTTTTTTTCATCAATTCCTTTAGTTTCTAATAGATTTTTTTTTTATAAGGAAATTGTATTTTATTAAAAAATTTTCTTTTTCGCGTTTCCTCAACACAACAAAATTAATGAATTGAAATTTATTTTTCATATAAATAAAATTCCTTTATAGAAATAGAATTTGAAAATTGATTTAATTTACCCAAGTTTATTTAAAGTGAAATGAAAAAAGAATCTCAAATCCTATATGATTCTCTGCGCGAGTGCGTGGAAGGCGCAAACTCATCTTCAAACATTAAACTTGAAGCATCCCCGTCAGTTGTAGCTCAGAAATTGTAACGTTCACTTTATATTTGTGAAAAAGTATACATTTAGATTTAAAATAACAGCTTCTTTCAATTTTTTTTTTTTTTTTTTTTTAAGTAAAATTTCAAATATTATAAATATTTTAAAATAAGAGATTTTAATATTGAAGAATAATTTTTCTTTCTCCATTAATTGTGATGCTAGTGGGAATTTTAATAAAAAAAAAATCTTTATATTGTGCAAAAAAAATGTAAAATTGTGATATTTTCTAAGAATACAATGATCTATATTTATTTGTTACTTCTTGTTCGTGGTAAGTTCAATAATAATGAAATTAAAAAAATTAAATATCAAATTTTTGGAAATTTTTATTTTAAGATTTTTTAAATTATTATTTTACTTAAATAGAATGAGATTATTCTTCAAGAATATATTAGTCATAATAATCTTACCCTCGTCTTTCCCTTTTTGGCAAAATTACAATTTTACCATTGCCAAACATTCATATATGAGATTATCAGCCTTCTGATATTGTGTCGTATACTTTTTATTTTATTCAAGTATATAGAATTCCGGATATAACATTAGGGGAAAAAAAGAAATTTTTTTTCGATGTTTCCCAAAAGTCAAGAAATAAAATTAAATATAATTAAATAAAATACACAACTATGTATTAAAAAATTATATTTTTTGTTTTGAGAAGATTCATTTTTTGTGTGAAAACAATTTTTTGATGTAATGAAAAATTTTTTTTTTTAATAAAAAAAAATTTAATTAAATCAAAAAAATTTTTATTTGAAATAAAATTATATAAAATAAAAAAAATGTTATTTAACAATTAATAAATTTTTTTTTAATATTTGACTCTTTATAAGAAGGGATTTTATTTTCTAATAGGTGCAATAGGTTTAAAAGATTTAAAACTCACGGTACCAGCGACAGTTCGATCGGGAGATGCCGTTTGGTTAACTTGTGATTATGATCTTCAGGGAAAATTACTTTATACAGTAAAATGGTACTTGAACGATGCTGAATTTTATCGATATTCACCAAAACGAAATCCTCCTGGACTTGCATTAGCTGTGAAGGATATAAAAGTCAACGTAAGTGAAAATAAGGAAATATTTTTAATTTTGCATCTATAATATTTTAAAGAAAATTTATTTTTAATAAAATAAGAAAATACTTCATATTTAAATATAAATTATATATAAACTTTACTAAAGTAAAGTAAAAATAAAAGTTATTATACATACTATTTTGTTGATGAATTATGTAAAATTTGCAGCTTAACAGATCCAACATGAATGATGTTATGTTACTTGACGTTTCAAGAAATCAAACTGGAATGTATAAATGTGAAGCAACCGAAGAACTTCCGACGCTTGAAACTCGAACGCAACAATCCTTCATGATGGTAATTGGTGTGTAAATTTTTCCACTATTTTCGTTTGATAATTTAGAGTGTCTTAAAAAATAAATTTTTTCGACTAAAAATTGAAAAAACAAAAAATGATGTAATATAATTCACTGTTTGTTATCTTCAAATTATTGACATTATAAGTTTTCATTTAAATTATTTTCCACTATTATTTTGTACAGTGTATTTTGTAATTAACAGAAGTTCCAGAACATGACCCGTCAATATTGGTTCAGAGAGATCGTTTGTCAGTCGGAGGGACACTTCGAGCTAATTGCTCATCGGGTTCTTCTCTTCCAGCTCCCATAATTACATGGACCATCAATGGAGAATCCGTAAGTATCAACTTATCAAAATTAATTATCAATTTTATTATTTATTAATTTATCAATTTTTCAATTAATTAAAAATGTTCTTTCAGCTTGATAATAATAAAATGGAGTTTCGAATAAATTTTCGTAATATTCCAATGTATGGTGAAAAATTTATGACTCGATCGAGTCTTGAGATGAAGATCATTCCCAGATTATTTCAAGACAATAAAATTCGTTTACGTTGTTTTGCCAATATTCATCCTGTTTATCAAGCAACGGCCGAATTTGAAATCATTGAAGATATTCCATTCATTGCGTCCATAATTGAAAATACTTCACCTCATAGTTATCGTAAGTAAAAATAAATTACAAAAGCAATCACAATTTTTTCACTGTTAAGAAGGCTTGAATTAAAAAGAGAATTAAAATTATTCCATATTACATTTTTCCCGAAGGAAATTAAAAAAAAAAGAAATTTTTTTTGTTTTATTTCTATTCTATATAAGTGAAATTAAAAAAATCGGTATTTATAGTTTTTCTTCAATTTCACTTGAAAAAAAAAGATTTTTTTTTCTTCTACTGTTTAAGATTTATAAATGAAATATTTTCAGCATATTAATCATGTACACATAAATTCTTTCTTTTCATTCTCCTCTTTGATATAGAAACAAATGAGTGCACCCGAAACAATTTATCTGACTGTCTGAATTTGGCGACGACAGTTTTTTTAATACTCGTTGTAGCATCAGTTACAAATATGAGATAGTTTTTAATGGATTTCTGGAACATTACTCTAATTACTCTATTTGTTAAACTGCGTACGAGGTAAACAGATTTTTTTCTTATAAACAGTAAATAGCATGAACAAAATATTATACAAATTACTTTTATGTTAATATTTTTTTGATGTAAATTATTTTTTTTAAATGTCCATTTTTCATAAATATCGCTATAAAAAAATGTTCTGTAAGAATAAGTCCAATTTTTTTTCACATATTTGTATTATGGAATTTTGTTAATTATAATATTGTAAATAAATGAATATTTTGCAAAAAAAAACGATATAATTTAATGAAAACTCTTTTTGAGAATTTTTTCCTTTAATTCTGAGTAAAACGAAATCCTAAATAAAAGAAAAAAAAGATCTTAAATTTGTAAGTGTAATTGTAATTTGTAATTTTTTTTGTTTTACAATTAATTTCTATTGACCCATATAATAAAATAACAATAAATTAATAAATTCGTTTAAACTTTTTTCTATAATAGAATCCATTTTAAGATTTTTTGTACAATATAAAGTTGAGAACGATATAAAACTCCAAAGCGGGTCAGCATTTAAAATTAATGCGATTTATTCAGGTTACGCTTCAAAAAGTTTCTTGAGATTAACTAGACTTACAAATTTTGTCTACGATATTACTAATTATGAAAGTAAAATTGAATTTCTTTTTGTAGAAAAAAAAGTGTACTCGACTTTAAATAATTATTTCAATTAAAATCCAAGAAAATACCTAAGCAAAATTGTATTCGTGTATTAAAAAATTTATTTTTCTCTTTATTTTAAGTTGAAAAACAAAATGTAATAAAAAAAATTCATCGAAATGTTTTTTTGTTTTAAATTATAATCCTAAAACAAATTATTTTTTACAATTAATATAAGAATTAAAAGAATTAAATATATTGTTGCATCATGATAATTTGTTAAAGTTGAAATTTATACTTCTCATTCCATTAGGAAAGAAATAACATCGTTTGAATTTATGGAATAAAAAGCACTTATGTCCTGAACAAAATTGCGTTTTCAATTTCACAAAGTGCTTTAGTAGAAAGACTATCAATTATCCAAGAAAAAATAAATACAGATCAATAAAAAAAAGAATCGTAAAAATATGTCAAATTTTACAACATTAAACGATTAAAATTATTAAAATTTTTTTTTTTTAAATATTCTTCTCATATTTTTTCTGAAAATAACAGAATGAGTTCAACTCAAATGAAAGAATCTTTTGTTAATGAAACATTTGATCTTCTACCACTTCCATTTATTGAAAAACTAAAGGCAGAGGAAATTGATAAAATTTCTTTAACAAACAATGAAAATCAAAAGAAATGGGAAAATTTTATAAATAGACTTCCAGACTCTCAAAATGAAATTATTCCTAGGGCACTTGACAAGTAAATCTAAACGTAACAAATAAATAATACAAAACACAAACAAAATATACAAAAATTTATCAAAAAAAAAAAAATTTTAAATAACCAATAGATACTGGCGATGGAAAACGTATAAAAAATATATACCAGAGGAACGAACTAATTTTCGAAAAACAATGTCAATTGGTCCAAAAATAGATCAATTTGGTCGCTTACCTATACCTGAAGATTTAAATAAATTTCGAATTTCTCGAGTAACTAATCAGAAATCAAAAAAAAATTGGAGCATATCTTAAAAAAGGAGATGGTCTTCAAAAGTTTAAAAAAGTAAATAAAAGAAAATATTAATAGTTTCAGAAATAAAATTTCTTCAAATCATGAATATAATAAATGATTATTTTTTTGGACAAAAAAAGCAAACATAATAAATTTTCTTTCGTTACTGTTTATATATATATACATTGTCAGTACAAAAAAAAATTATCCAAAACACTCCATCGAGTTATAAAATTCTACAAAATAGTAAATCAAAATATTGTCGACAATTTTCGTTTGTCAACTAATAACAAAGTCATCAACACTGACCATCAACATTCTTCTTAAAAAAAAAAACACTTTCTCCTTAGAGTATTTTTACAATATTTTCCAAAATAATAAAAATCTTTCTTCTAAGTATCACTGATTAAAAGTTAATTAGTAACAAAATAATTTTACTTACACTTTGTTTTTAATATAGGAGATCAAAGGCACCGTTTGATGTACTCAATTCTCTAAATACCGTGTTCATTATCCAAATTTATAATTTGAATAAATTCTGCGGAACATATCGCGACAATTAATCTTGACATTTAATTTCGCACAAAGTAAAAAGACGCCAGATAATTTTCTATGAAGGCTGTAAATTTCTTCTGGCGGTGGACAAAGACGGTGATTAACTATTGTGGGAACAAGCTTTTGTATTCTGTAAAATTCAATGTAAATTCATTCATTTTTGTAATATTTCAAAACTTTAATCTATAAATGTTTTAATTTTCATATTATTAAAAAAAAAAAAAATTATTACTATTCCAAAGATTTCCCCTTTTAGGAGCCAACAGATTTTTATATATATATATATTTTACTCACCTTTTAGTTACTTCTTGACCTCCAAAATCAAAATATTCATGCTCTTTGTCAAAAACTTGGCCAAGAATCATCACAGCATCTACGTGAGCTTCTTCCATAATCTATTTGAAATATAAGAATATAGTTTTCTTTCCTCTATTTTTGTAATTATTTTAAAAATATTTTAATCTTTATTTAAAAAAAAAAAAGATTTATTATTAAAAATAAATTATAAAAAGATTTATTTTTTAATAAATCAAATGGAAATATTTTAACGAACGTGTATATTGAACGATAAAAAATAATTATAATTAATTTTGTCAAATAAAAACAATACCTTCGATTCATATCCCGTCAAAAATCCCATTTCACGAGAAAGATTTAAAACTTTTTGTCTATCTCCTTCACTTGCTCCATTAATTACTTCTATGTATTTATCCATAAATGGTTTCTCATAACTTCTACATGCTCCAAAATCAAGAAGAATCAACTGGAAAAATATTGAAGTTTTTTTTTTTTTTTTAAATTTTAGGAAAGACTCGATAATTTAAAATTATAATTATTGTTAAATTAAAACAATTGAAATATTTTATTAAACTCTCTTGAAAATGAAAATTAATTAACGTACTTGTTTTGTTTCTGTATTGTAAAAGAAATTTGACCAATTTGGATCAGTTTGCATATATCGAAATACAAAAAGTTCTTTTAAACAAAGTTCCATAATTAATCTACAAATATGTTTTCGTGTTTCTTCATCCATTTCTGCGCATTTATCAACTGGAATTCCGTCTATTAATTCACTTGTAAAAATTTGCTTTGTACTAAGTTCATCTAAAAATAATTTTAAAAAAACTATGAAAATAATAATAATAAATAATAATAGAAAAAAGTCTTTAAAATCTTTCAATATATATAATAATTGTAAAAAATTAACATTTGAAATTCATTTTAAATATGAAAAAAAAATTATTTAATTATATAGAATTATAAAAATTAGTGAAAAAAAAATTATTATTATTATTAATTAATAATTAATTTTGTTTTATTTATAAAACATTTTTTTTTGTTTTGTTTGGAAGTGTGAATTACTTAAAATTTACAATTCCAAACACCAGTTTTCAGTTAAAAAATTTTAATTATTTTTTTTTCTAAAAAACTTGTTTGATAGTTAAAAATTGTGCTATTTGAGAAAATATTTGGTTTCGAGAGGGTTAAGTAGGGCAATAAAAAAAATAATTACCTATAACAGCAGGAACATAATATTCAGAATAAGGTTCTACAAATTTTTTATATTTCCTTGCACATTCAGCTTCTCGAATATAATCAACTTCCCAGGCAAGTTCTCGTTTTGCTACTTCCACTATATTGTCTATGAACATACCTTGAGGAAACATATTCCATACCTGAAATGGAAATAACAATATAAATATCAAAAAATATGTGATAATTTTTTTAAAATCATTATTAAAAAAATAAAATTTATTTTCTGAATATTTACCTTCATTACACCAACTAAATTTTCAATGTCACTTGAAATTCCCAGTGCGACTCCAGGATATTGAATTTTTATAGCCACTGGTTGATTATTCAACAGAGTTGCATGATGAACTTGACCTTAAAATTATTTTTAAAAAATAAATTTCTTTTTATAATTTTTTTGGTTTTCTTCATATATAAATATCTAAATTTCAATTCATTTAGTAATTAAATGATTAATTATATCTCATTAAAAATTATTAATTAAAATAGTTAATTAAATAAATAGTAAATAAATACATAATTTTAAAGTTGAGAAACAAAAAATTAACAAACCAATTGAGGCAGCGGCAAAAGGTTTATCCTCAAATGTGGACAATTTACTTCTCCAGTCAGGGCCCAATTCACTGGACAATACTTTCTGAAAATTTAAATTCAATTTTTAAAAATAAAATTTTAATTGATACCTAACATTATTTTTATAAAATTTTAAAAATATTTTGATAAATAAAATCTTTTTTTTCTCACTTTCTGTTTCAAGTTCCTAGAGTTATTTTTTATAATTCTCAAAACGGACACGTTCAAATTTTTTGGACTTTATTAATTTTTTTTTTACTTTTTGTTTTCTAACAGCTAATACTTTCAATAAAAATGTAATTTAGTATTTTTTTTCCGATTTTTAACTCTATATTTCTGACAAAAATTCATAAAACTTTAAATTCAATAAATAAATAAAAATAATATAACAAATAAATTTGTTTCGTGTACAAAATCCTAAGTTTCTGTTCAGATTAAGACATAAAATTGTATTTTACCTCCACTTGCCATTTAGGCATAAAATCAGCACTTTGCCTTACGCGTTCAAAAGCCTTTTGCAATTCTGGACTAATGATAGTATTATCCTGGATACTAAGAATTTGTCCAATTTTCAAGGCGGCACCTAAAATAATAATAAAAAAAAATAAATAAATAAATAAAACTAAACAGATATGAAGAAAATTAAAAATAACAAATATATAAAGATTAAATTAAGAAATAAATAGATAGATTGAAAACTTAATAATTAATTTAAACAAGTTAGTCAATGTAATTTTACCTCTAACTTTGCATAATGTTGATACAATTCTTTCAGCATTTGCTTTAGTTAGAAACATAGTATCGAGAGTATCTCCAATACTTTGGTCCTTAATTTTTAATGTTCTCCGTGTATATTCGGCTAAAGTTCCAACTCCAAGACCCACACCAAGAGTGCCAAAACTCACCATTCTTTGTAATCGTGTTGATGGAACTTTTCGTTCTTTGGAAGTTGCCGAAAGCTTATAAATTAAGGTAAATTATTTATTTCATAAAACTTTTTTTTTTTTTTAAGAAACAAAAAACAAATTATTTTACTCACAGTTTGCTTAGGTTTTATTGATGGTTTAATTTTTGGCTTTATTGTATTATTTTCATTAGTATCAAAAATTTTCTGTGGATTTGTTGTTTTTTGTTCATCTTTCATCATTTGATTATCATTACTAATTTTCTTTTTTTGTTCATTTGTTACATTATCATTAGGATTTAGCTGTTGAATTTTCTTCTCATGTTCAAGTTCTAGTTTTCTTAAAATTTTTTTCTCTTTATCCGAGAGTTCAATATTTGGTATTTCATTATTTAAATTTGATATTTTCTCTATTTTCTCCTTGACACTTGAATATTTTTTCGGCTCTTTTAAAGCATCACTCTCTTTTTCATTTGATTTAGTAAAATTTTTAACATTTTCTTCGACTTTATTTTTATCAAGAGGTACTTCCCTTGGATCTTTGGCAGGATCAAAGAATTCTAATTTCTTGCCTGTGAAATTTGATTCATATTTCATTGTTCCACCTAGAGCCTCTGTACTTTTTATTTTTGAATATTGAACAAAACCTTTTTCAACCACGAGAATACGTTCTAGAAGTTCTTTAGTTTCCTTGGCGATTGATTCCTTAAAATAAAATTTTATTTAAAAAAAAAATTAACGTATTTTAAAAGAGATAAACAAAATTTTGTTTTTAAAAAAATAAAAGATATAAAAAACAATTAAGAATAATTAAAGAAAGATTTATAATTTAATATTAAAAAAAAAAACATTTTTTTTTATGATGATTCTAAACATTTTTACTAAAATTTATTGAAACTTACTGGAACCTTACTTGGATCAATTTTACTTAATTTCTGTTTTAAATTCTTGACATTTTCTTCAGCTGCTGATACGACACTGGAATTTTTGAGCGAATGTTTTACACATTTTTCTTGTTGTTTTAAAATTGCATCAACCACCAATTTGGCACCACGAATTGTACCAATTATATCGGAAGTCAAACGACTAGACATGACTAAAATTAAAAATAATATATTATTAAATAAATAAAAAAAAAAAACTTGAAAAATTATTTTTTATATATAGTAATCTTTGATATATATTTTTTTAATGAGCTAATTTTAATGTAATAATTATTAATGAAGTTTGATTATTGTAAATGTTGACCAATAATTAAAGTTACTATGCATTTGAATAACAATTGACACTCAACTAAAACAAAAATCAAAAATTTTAAACTATTATTGTGGAAAGTACAATGAGAGACAAATGTATTTGATGATGATGATTTTAATTTTACTTACCTGTTGTTTTTTTATAAAGTAAACTTTTTACAAATATAATTAAATTACAAAAACGCAAATCATTCAAATAAAATGAATAATTTTGCGTCTTAAAATTTTGAAATACTTGACAAAATTTGAATATAACACACACTAAATGCCCTTGAAATTACGTAAATGAGGTTATGTATAGATTTATAGAACACCGGGTTCGAAAAAATAATAATACGAAGAGAGATGGACACTTTTTCCCCAAAACCATGGTCGTGTATAAACAGGTTCGAAATCTCTGCAATGCCGTCAATACGGAGAATCGTGGTGAAGCCCGTCGATAGGTGGCTACGTGTCGAAAAGTCTATTCTATATTTCTATCTTCTTCTTCTCGTGTCAAGGGTGTTACATTTACTTACCAATCCCTGCTGTACATTTCCAGGTTGCCGGTTTCACCACTAATTATGTCTTTGACGCAAACAAAAATTGATATATTGAACATTATTAGTATTACACATTTATATTATATTTATATGATTGACGTTTTTCTCACATTTTGATGGTACGTAAAAATTGAACATTTTTATCTATTTTACAATTGAATTTTGTGTTGTAATACTTTTTCGGAAATTTATTTTGGCGAATGCGTCCAGCATGTGTCTCGGCCAATAGAAAATATTAAAACAACAATATTTTTTCTTTTTTCTTGATTTGTACAATTTATTTATTGAAACAATTTAGTTATCTGTTATAATTTCGCATATAGCGAAATTTGTTGGTTATGGCAGTCCTGTGTCAACAATTATCAGACGGTATTTTGCCACATTATTTATGGAATTATACCTATTTGTTTTTTGTATTTTTCACTTAATTTGTTCAATTAATGAAAAATTTAATCGTGTGTTGTACTCTTCGGATTTTTTTTTGATTTGTTTGTTTATACGTAAATGTAATTTATTTGTTCATTTTTATAAATTTTATTTTCTCAGGTATATTTGTTTTCATTTTATATATTTTCTAACGATCTGTTTATTTTCATTCTTCTTATTTGTCATATTTTTTATAATATATTATTAATTATATTATATATATATTATATTATAAATTTGAAACCTGAAAGACTTATAAAAATCGGACAAGTGCAAATTATACTTGCACTGAAATCGAGGGTTCTGTACACGAAGCGAACTTATTTGGTATTAAAAAAAATGTTTAAAAAATATAAGTTTGGGATGTCAAATAATGTAAATGATACGAAGAGAAACAATTTTCTTAAATTTTTTTACAAAATTGTTCCTTTTTGTATCACTTATATTATCTGACATACCAAACTTATATTTTTTAAACATTCTTTTTTATACCAAATAAGTTCGCTTCGTGTACGTAATCCTCAATTTAATTTTATGAAATTTTATTTTCAATTTAAATAAACATTTTCTTTTTAAAAAATGTGTAAAGAATATCGAATAAAAAAAAGAAGAATAGGAGGAAGAAAAAAAATTACAAAAAAATTAAATAGATCAGAGAAACGAATAAAAAAAATTATGGAAGAAGTCTACTTTTTTTCAAAAAATTTTCTTTTTCGAAAAAAAAATTAATTAAAACAACTTTTTATTATTATTTTTAAATTATTTCTATAATCTGGTCATAAAAATACGTAAAAATGAATAAATTTGAAGACCTTTAGATAAAATTTTCTTCGTTATTGGAAGAAAATTCATGATTTTTTCTAAAATTATCAATTTTTTCTTTGACAGAACCAGATCCATTAACTTTAATCGTCCTCGCTCGAGAACACGTGATATAACCAAACTTTTGATACTGAAAAAGATTTTTCCATGAAAATTAGTGAAAATAATTCCTATTTTATTTCTTGACTAGAATTATCTAAAAGACAATTTTTGTCTCTCTTTCTGAGACGAAAACACAGTAGAAAAACCACCAAAGAACCCGTGACACGACCACTTTTTTTTTTGACAATGATTTTTCTTTGAAATTTACAGAAAACAAATTTTGGTCGTGTCACAGGCTATCTGGTGGTTTTTCTACTGTGTTTTTCACCTGAGAATGGGAGACAAAAATTGTCATTTAGTTAATTCTAGTCAAGGAAGAAGGTTGGAATTTTTTTCTGTAGTTTTCAAGGAAAAATCTTTGTTAAAATAAAAAGTTAAGTACATTAAAAAAATTGTATTAATTTTTTTTTTTTAACAATTTCAGATTTTGGATTATACGACCTTTTTGACTTGTGAAATTCAATTATTTTTATTAATTTTAATATTTCTTTCAAAAATTTAATTATTTAAAAAAGTTTCAAATAAAAACTCCAAAATTGAATTGTTGGCAGAAAATAAATATAAAAAAAAACTACAACAGATAAAATTTACAGAAAATTTATTTTCAATTTCAAATCTTCTGAAAATTTTTTTGACCATTAAAACTAAAATTTTAAATTCAAATAAATTGCTTATATCAGACTTCAAAAAAAAATTTTAAATGTAGAAAATTTGTCTTAGTTTGATTTTAAAATGTTCGAAATAAATTTTCTTGATAATATTCTTAGAGAATTATTATTATTAAAATTTAAGTAAAATGAAGAAATCGATTTTTTCACCTTTTTAGGGTTCCGTACTCGGTTCGGAACCCTATTAATATCGGTTTTTTTGAAATCGTGTACCCCCCCCCCTAGCGGCCACATAAATTTATCTGGAGGGCTGAAAATTAGTACACATATGTATTTTCGCGTGTAGATTACAGGAAAATTATAGCGAACTTGATTGGAATTGATTAACATAGCGTTGTCAAGGAAAAACCATGAATTTTTACGAAAAATGCCTAAAAATGACTATGTACCCCCCCCCTAGCGGCCACATCTTTTGACATAAAGAGCTCAAATTTGACACACTTACGTATTTTTACGTGAAAATTACAGGAAAATTATAGCGAACTTGATTCGGATCAATTTACATAGCGTTGTCAAGGAAAAATCAAAAATTTCGAAAAAAATAATTTATTCTCCCTAGCGCACACAATATTCAACCCAGACAGATCATATTTAGTATACAAATGTATTTTTACGGGAAAAATACAGGGGAAAAAAAGCGGTCACGATTAGAGTTGATGATTAACTTTTTATCAAGTTTTTCAAGAAAAAATGACAATTTTAGGAAAAAAATGTATTTTTCCACCAAAAACGAACAAAATTTTATTTAAAGGAAATTAAATTTATATATTTTAACGTATTTTTACGTGTAGATTACAAAAAAAATATAGCGAGCATGATTGGAGTTGATTATCATAGCGTTGTCAAGGAAAAACCATGAATTTTTACGAAAAATACCTAAAAATGAGTATGTACCCCCCCCTAGCGGCCACATCTTTTGACATAAAGAGCTCAAATTTGACACACTTACGTATTTTTACGTGAAAATTACAGGAAAATTATAGCGAACTTGATTCGGATTAATTTACATAGCGTTGTCAAGGAAAAATAAAAAATTTCGAAAAAAATGATTTATTCTCCCTAGCGCACACAATATTCAATCCAGACTGTTCATACTTGCTGTAAAACTCAATTTTTGCGTGAAAAATACAGGGAAAAAATGTAAGCGCGATTGGAGTTGATGATCAATTTTTATCAAATTTTTGAAGAAAAATGATAAATTTCAGAAAAAAATGTATTTTTCCGCAAAAAACGAAAAAAGTTTTTCTACAGTGATTCAAATTTATATATTTTGACGTATTTTTACGTGTAGATTACAAAAAAAATATAGCGAGGATGATTGGAGTTGATTTTTCTGGAATTAATAAACAAATTTTATTTTTTAGATGACTTTCGATTTTTCCTTGACAAGCAGCTACTAGCCTTATATCAATATCTTAAGTTTTATCTCTTTTTGACTTAGAAAGATAAAATTTAATATTCAATATATTTTTAAAATGTAAATACAATAAAAATATTGCGAGTTGAAATAAAATTATGTTTCTTATATTTTTTTAGTAAAATATTTTTTAAAAAATAAAATCGGACAAGTGCGAGTTACACTCGCACTGAAATCGAGGGTTCCGTACTCGAAGCGAACTTATTTGGTATAAAAACAAATGTTTAAAAAATATGTGTTGTATGACAACTAATATAAGTGATACGAAGAGGAACAATTTTCTTGAATTTTACAAAATTGTTCCTTTTTGTATCACTTATATTAGTTGTCATACAACACATATTTTTTAAACATTTGTTTTTATACCAAATAAGTTCGCTTCGAGTACGGAACCCTCGATTTCAGTGCGAGTGTAACTCGCACTTGTCCGATTTTATTTGAAATGTAAATCGACTAAAATGATTATTTTTTTTTGCATCCTAAAGTCGATCCGAGGCCTGCAATTTTACAATAAATTTGAAGGGTAGAATGACAAAAGGGGTCAAGCGCCAATTTATCGAAAATGAGGTTTTTGCATAAAAAAATCAAGAAAATTCATTTACACATTTCTGTAAAAGGATTTTCTTTTTTATTGCGTATTTAAATCAGTTTTTAATAAAAATTAAATTAATAAAATAGCTTCAAATTTACTTTATTGGAACCTGATTGAAAAACAAAAGAAAGTGGTGTTCAATTTTGATCAAAAATATTATTTTTTGAGGTTTTATTTTAATATTTTATTTTAATTTAATTTTAATTTTATTTTAATTAATAAAATTAATAATAATAATAATATAAGTATTTTCAATTTTAAACAATTTTAAAATCATTTTGTTATTAATTTTTAAATATTTTTATGATTATACTAAGTGAACAATTGAATTTAAAGATAAAAGTATTGCTTAATTCCAAAGCAAGCAATTAATTCGTAATTTTCTTGAAAACAAACAATTTTTTAAAGGAATTTTTTTTTCTATTCATTTCGTCGATTCCATAGAAAGAAACTAATTTTCCAGTTTTTCTTTAAACTGTATATTTTTTTTATAATTAATGCTTAAAGAAAATGTGCGCAGTTGATATAACCTCAAGGAACCACAGTTTTTTTTAATTTTATCGTTAATATGTAGGTTTATTTCAACAAATTGTTGTTCATTTATTAAAACATACTAATATATCGAAACTGTTTTCTCAGTTTTTTTTAAATGACCTGCAAAATTTTTAAAAATGTTTTTTTTACTTCCTGTAAAAACAGTGAATTGGCGCTTGACCCCTTTTGTCATTCTACCCTTCATTTATCAAAAATACAAAATTGTTGATTGACAAATTTACAAATAAAAAAAATCGGACAAGTGCGAGTTACACTCGCACTGAAATCGAGGGTTCCGTACTCGAAGCGAACTTATTTGGTATAAAAACAAATGTTTAAAAAATATGTGTTGTATGACAACTAATATAAGTGATACAAAAAGGAACAATTTTGTAAAATTCAAGAAAATTGTTCCTCTTCGTATCACTTATATTAGTTGTCATACAACACATATTTTTTAAACATTTGTTTTTATACCAAATAAGTTCGCTTCGAGTACGGAACCCTCGAATTCAGTGCGAGTGTAACTCGCACTTGTCCGATTTTATTTTTTAAAAA